TCCAAGTAAAATGTCACTTATTGAATTGTTCTGTACCTTCAAACTAGTATAAATGTAAAATTTATTTTCAGGATTGTAAGGGTTTTCTAACTCTTTTTAGATCACAAGTAAACTGTAAAAAAGAACTTTATGCAGATTACCTAAGTCTGTCAGTGAGAGGACGTGCCAGTAGCCCTCAGTGAGGTAAGATTTTTAAAAAATTGGTAAGGCTAAACGTAACCTCTAAAGTCATCTGAATTTAAAATTAACAAAGGTTTTTCAATCTAAACTGAGGAACAAGCCGTAGCACAGATTTTACAGTTCAAAGCTTTTTAATTTTTATCACTGATCCTGTCCTTAACATTCCTCATTAAGATGTAATATTATATATACATAATCAGTATAATCTAGCCATCTAATCAGTATGAACCCTGAAACGACCATATATTAGCCTTTCGTGATATTTTAGGGCTATTAAGGTTAAAACATGATAAAATGTAGGACGTAATGTGATCAGTGCCTGTTCAAGGACTGGGAGGTCACGTAATATGCATTGAATTTCATGTCACTATAATTTTGTTATTTGGGACACTTATTACACAATCTATTGTGACCACTTTTAGACACCTTTCCCTCCGTAATCAATATTATACATAGCTATTGTGTGGAAATAACACTCGCATAATTATTTCGAAACCCATTTAATGATTACGTAATGAATGGACAATACAACCCCTTTAAACATCATTTCTTATGCCACCGTAATTTGTTTTCAACTGTGCTCAACCCGACCCTAGATTGGGCAAGTTATCAATTATGGTTAACAATTTACTTCCTTCATAAATGATTATTAATACTCATAATGTTTTTGAGTAGACAACCTGCTGTTTAATCCGAATGTTTGTTCAATGAGCAATGTTCATCCCTGTGTCACGCACAGTGGTCGATCGGGGGCAGGGGAGCCCCAATATAGCCGGGGCCGGGGCTGGCCACTGAGAATTGGCCGGGGCCGGAGCCGGGAAATCTTCCATTTTGCCGGGGCCGGGGCAGGGGCCGGGGGTAGTTTACCGAACTGTAGTCAGAAATTGAAACATGAATTTGATAATAATTTAGGCTGGTGTGATGCAATCGGGAAGGATTAAACTCGAGGTACGGCTTATCCTCACCGACTTGAGGATTAAACCGCAACTTCGTGCTGTGAACCAACTCAGGATAATCCTCAGGTCATACTTAATTTCTAATCCTCAACTCGGAACTGAGGATAACCCTCAGCTGCTACTTAATCTGGACCATGGTAAAATTTTGCTACTGGATAGTAGCAAAATGTTTACTTTTTACCATGGTTTTAATGTTAGGCTTTGTAGTTTACGTTGAGCCGTAGTTTTAGCTGCAGTGCAGTATTTTTACTTTCTAGTTTCGACGTATGTTTTATCGCTAATTTCTCGGAGACGATTAATTGAAAAGTCTGATACTGAGGAAGAACCACGGTTATTATGTTACTAGCCGTAGTCTAATTTAAGCCAATTGTTTCAACTTTGAAATCTCATAATTACCATTAAATTGTGTTTGATTTTTTTCAAAAGTGTGCCAAAATCATTCATGAAATCCCCGGCTGTGCCCCCGGTAAATGCATGGTTTTTGGCCGGGGCCGGGGGGTAAATTTATTGGCCGGGGCCGGGGTTTACCCCCGGCGAATTGCCAAATTTTGGCCGGGGCCGGGAAGGGCCGGGGGTTGTGATTTTGGCCGGGGCCCCGGTCGACCACTGGTCACGCACAAGCTTTAAAAACAGTTTTTGTGAAAGTTTCGCAATGTGAAACAGACTTTGTAAAATTTTATGATTTTATTGTACCATTAACTTGAAAACAAATTACTAAACTTTAAAAGCTTGACTTGCACTTTGATACTTCGATAGTCATTCACCAAATAACTGATTATCTTGTTAAATTACGTAAATTTGTAATAAAAATGGTATATAACTTTATTATCGGATACGACCAGCTATAATATAGTTAATTTGACAGGCGAAATGCAGAATATTAATGCACTGATATCGCAATATCATACTGAGCTGGGTGGCCCTGAATTAGATAATATGGGGCCGAACCTCAGGTCAACTACAATCCGTCTATTTAATTCGCTTGCTGCTAATTCCTGACCACGCTGTGCACTCCTTGTCTGCGGTACTTTGATACACTACTAGAGCTCCTCTTTTGATCCTCAATCCCTTTTCCGTTTATTCAACTGAGTTGACCGGGCAGACAAATCGGTCTGAAGAAACTTTTTCTCTGATATAGATACCCAATATGCAAATTATTGCATGTTAAAGTCAGAATGTTTACAGATACAGTTATACTTTAAAAAATATGCTTAATTTCCTACATAGTGTCAGGTCTCCTTTAAATAATGATTCAAGTGCTACCCTCCATTTTGCTTACTTTAATTTCCAATATTATTTTGGCAACATTTATTTCTGCTCTATCATCCCATTTATGATTAAGCTATATTATATATTATGCTGAAAAGGAACAGGTTATTCTAATTATTCTATGAATGGGCTTGGTAAATCAGATTTACAGCATAGTAGTTAAAACCGTTAAAGTTTCTATCTATTCTCCGTTATCATGTTATGCAGTTCATCAATCAAAATTAACAAAAGATTACAGAATTAAATGAAACACAGAATGGGATTTGATGCCTATTATATGACGTCGCGTTGAACCTTTCATTTACCTAAACTAAGGGGTCGTTCACATATTGCGTGATCACTAAGGGGTGGAAGGGTTTCTAAATTATTACGCTAGTGTTATTTTAACACAATAGCCATGTGTTTAAGCGACTACGGAGGAGGGTGGGGGTAAAATTGGCCATAAAATGATTACGTAATATGTGACGACCCTTAACGGGATTTCAGAGGACAAATGTATCTTTATCAATATTTATAATCTTATCTAACTTATCTAAATATTATATTAGCTTGCTACTGACATGTCTTCTCACTAACACAAGCATTTCTCAGTTTGAGTGGCTTTTAGGAAAGCCCTGACGAGACAAAAGGCCGATGGACGCGATTTTCGTCGCATTGTCACAGATTATTTTCTTCAGACTAGTTTTTATGTAACGCGCCTTGCGAAATTTAGTACTTTTTGGCCACGCGCGTTCTTAATTTTCTGAGCTGAAGCTAGAAGTCGAAAATGAAAAGTGATGTAATGGCATCACTGCAGTCCGCTCTACTAATAAGCAGGAAGCTTTCGATTCCGATATCCTTACATTTCATCTTAGTTTTTTTATTCATGGTGGCTATTCTTATATTGCTTTGAAATTATGTATTACACGAAATCACAGCTGTTATCCGCACAGGTAGTATGGCGACTACAAAAGTAGCCACTAGTTCAGCTACAGTTGGCTTGACTTTAACTGCCGCCGGTGTCGACACCAAATGGTCCAGAGACACGTGGGCAAAGACTGAAGTTAGGTTGAATGATTTCGACTTGTTGGTCCTAAAGAATCTGGTGGGTGCTGTTAGTGATAAGCTTGATAACGATTCAGTTTGCACGGTAATGGGTGATTATCTGTATCAAGCGGTTCGGGCCTGCCTGAATTCTGATAAGATGAAGCTGTTAGAGATAAATGAGTCTAGAGCAAGTACTCCTGGTATAGGAGGTAGTATTAAACAAACTAAAAACCGAAAAGGTGGTCGGAAAGGTGGGGGAGCGAATAAGGCGAAAGGAGCTAAAGGGCCTTCGAAAGCTGATCAGATTAGAATGCAAAATTCAATCGGTAGCTTAAACTCGAAAGTTGAAGGAGCTTTATCCGCATTTGCCGGTAATGACGACTTTCGACGCCCGAAACTGTTTTTGGAAAAGATCGTGGAGATGCGAGGGATTGGTTTTCTATGTTGTGCATGGTTCTTGTTGACAAAGCGGAAAAGTCTGTCTTGGGACCAGGAATTGACTGCCTTAACTTACAGTATCATTGTGTCCCTAGAAAGATTCATCAAGGTAACGGAAAAACTGAAAGGGAAGTCGCATCTTGATTCTTTGAAAGACGACATCGTTTCAGTTACCCTAATAAACGATTTGAAGGACAAATTGGCGGAGCTAAAAGAGAAATTCGAATTCAGTGGCGAGAAACTATACCGTACATCTCCACAATTGTTAATTTTCAGTGACTTTGACACTGTCCTCCCAGTTTCAGCAGTCAAACCTTATCCACATCAATCCAAAATATGTAAAATACTGGAGGATAACATTGACAATGGATGTTATATTATGTACCGTGCTATCACTAATGCGGGTAAAACTACTACCATTGCAATGTTGGCTGCTACGGTCCAGAAGATTAGAAATACTCGGCATGAAAAGGACCCCCTCGCTAAGCTGACGGTAATATTTAAATATGTTTCAAATTTTATCTCAATTCTTTCAATTTTTGGTGCGTGTCGCGTGGTTGAGGATCCCCAACCCTATTGCCTACTGGTATTAAGTAGTAGGGATTCAGTCCGCTCACCCGTAGTATAAGCTAGGCTTTCATTTATTAGTTAGTTAGTTATTCAATTCATTCTACTACAGAAAGGGAAAATTAATAAGGGAATCATATCCTGAAACAGTCTTAATTATTAAAGATTGATTTTACATTCTCTCATCAGTGGTTAATAATAATATTACAATCGTTTCAGATAATCTTCTGCTGCAACGTCAACCCTGTAAAAGATGCTGCTGGTCAATGGCTGTACAACTCAGCCAACATCAACTCTATAGATCAACTTCCGTTTGCTATAGCATTTGATAGGCCGGACGGGGAGTTGGTGATTCGTAACAGTTTTATGTGCACCAAGCAAGATGACAGACTGGTCATAATCTGCTCTCCACATATTGCTATGAGGGTAATTAAAGAACGTAGCGGCACAGCTCCATACATTTTGTTCCATGATGAACCAACTTCCGGAGCTGAGAATCGGGAAAGCAGTTACCTTCACCAAAATGTTGAAATAATGATGTACCCAACTAGATGGACAATCGTGTCTTCCGCCACCCTTCCCACAGAGGTCGAACTCGAACCATTTATAAAAAAGTTCAAAAGAATGAACCCCTCGGGTCACATTGAAAATGTAGCTTCTGCCAAAATAAACATTGGCTGCGACATATATTCCCATAATGGTACCTCATTCTTGCCCCACTTGGGTAGCGGTTCAACGGACGAACTTACCGAATGTTTGACAAATATTAAGGACAACATGTTCCTGAGCCGTTCGTACACTCCCTTGTCCGTGTCAGAGCTGTGTAACTTCGCCACGGAGTATGAAGTACCTGGCGTACCAAAGATTGGCGATCACTTTTCCAAAATAGATAATCTCAGTGCCGATGCAGTGAGATTATTCGGGCTCAAGATTTTGGACCAGGTATCCAAAACTGACGACTCTACGACCAAAGAAATATGCTCCAAACCCATCAAATGCTCCGGAAGGAGTGTAGAATTTTCTAACCTTGGCACAACAAGTGCTTCTAAGTTTTCCCAGATGAGTCTTATTGCAAGTGGAGATCCATTAGCATTTGCACTGGAGACCTTCGCCGACTTCATTGAAGAAATCAACGATACTAAGGTGTACAGTATTGAAAAGCTTGTATCTCAATATTGGAAAGTTCAGGAACAGTGGTCGAGCGAGATCGAGAAGATAAAGAAGCGAAAGAAAAAACCCCCAGCCTCATCGAAAAGACGAAACTCCACTGGAGAGGCAGAAAAAGAAGAAAAGGTAGACTATGAGCAACAAGAAATGGATCTGCTCGCAAACAAACCGTTCCTGTCCTTCCCCGAATATTATCAAATTAACACCCGGCTGCACGCTGAAAAATACTCTCCGAACGGGAAAATAGATGTGGAGAGGTACCCCAACCCTGATTTTAGTTTTCTGACTGATTCTAAGAAAAATCTGAATGTACCTGGAGATGTTCTGCTTCTATTATGTTGTGGTGTGGGAATATATGCTCCTGAAGATTCTAGAGTCAACAGTGGCGGTTACCTCGAGTAAGTTCCTTTTTTTCTAAAAAACCGTTCGCGTTATTTATTATGAACTTATAATAACAAGCTTATTGATACATGCTCCTTGGAATTTGTTGCTTATCTTGTCATTTTGATCTAGAATTTACCCTATCGTCACCTCAGGCAAGTGATATCACTAGCAAAAACAGGAAGATTGGCGTATCTGGTAGCGGACCATAACATAGCATACGGAGTCAACTTCCCCTTCTCCCGGACGATAGTGTGTGATGATTTCACTGCAGATCATAGCATGAACACCGTCTTTCAACTCATGTCTCGAGCAGGTTAGTTTTATTAGTTTATATTATGAGGGTCAAAACATTTGTCGAGATGATTAATTCCGAATTTTCGCCTCCAGGCTCCAATGGCCTTTAAGTGTTACCAAATTCTCCCTATTTTTCTTATGCTCACCTTCCACAGGTCGTGTTGGTCAGAGCTGGTTTGCAGAATCCTTCGTATCAGACGAAGTGGTGAGTACAATGAGAGACTATTCTCACTCCGATAAGTCACCCGATGGTCAGGTGGAGATTAAGAACATGATAAGTGTAGCACGGGAAATAACGATAAGAGACCGTGAACAGAGGCAAGCCCGCGAGGGTATAGGGGGTCTGTGATGATAGGGCAGGATATTTAGGTGAAGTCTTGTTTTAGGGACAATTTGTATTGTTGTTTACTGAGGGGTATTGTAAATTTTGCATCTACGTAACATTGATATTCTCATTTCTCATGATACTATATATTTAAAATCTTTGTTTGGTCAAGTATTGGGTCGTTTTTCGGGTAGTCGATGAAGGTTTAGTGTAGTGAAGTTGTCCATCAAATTGTTGGATAACGTGTCCGTTATTTTCCTTCTTAAAATTTGCTTTTTTGCAGATTGATTATAGGGAAGTAGCCAGTTGTGTTAATCATAATATATTGTGAATTGTTTGTAGGTAAAATAGGCGAAGCAGGGAAAGTAATTTATTTTATGGAATGTCTTTCATATATTTTAATGCACTTTAAAGTTAATACTTCGAAACCTTGTGATTCTGGTTTTAGAATATTGGCTAGGTCTAAATTGGTATTAGTGAGTTTCCCGGCATGGCTTCTATATCTCAAGTTTTCCACAATACTTTTTATTTTGAAATGTCCTGATGACGTGAAAAAATATGTTGGCAGAGGAAAAATCTTTTTCAGATTAGGTTATTTTTAGTCACATCACCTCCTAAGTTTTAAAAGTATCATTAATATTTTAATGTTAAAGCCACAGCGATCACAATCAATTCTCATTTCTAGTTCATCTCTATTTGTAAAGCTGGTTTCAATTTGGGCATTGGGATCATGTTTATTTTTTATTTGTAGTGTAACATCAATTGTTAGGGTGACCTAATTTGTATTGCGCTATCCTTGGTTTGGAATGATTGTAAAAAGAATTATATTGCATTTACTTAAACAAAAGATACTAGTTAAGTTCAGATAACCCTTCTTGCCACTCGCATATGTTAGATGATCAACTTTATCCTATCTCAAATTTATTTAAATTCTGTGTGGGTTTATAATTTAAATTATATTGATATGATGTGATTGCCATCTTTTTAATATCCATCATAGATCAAACTTGGTTCAATAGAATCGATAGAGTTCGTTTTAAGAACTATCATTGATCGCACCTAAATAGCCCCTGTGATTTTCTATAACTCTAAACTTTGCTACTGATGGGAAGATGATGTAAATGTGATATAACAGACAACATTTGACCTGTGACTTGAACGAATTACTAATTTGATCGCTGATTAGTTAATCGAGCTGTTATCAAATTACATTTGTGTCTCCTCCCCTCCGGTAGTCTAGTCTGTAAGTTTGAGCTGCCCTTTATAAGCTTTATTTGATTAGAGAACATGTTTTATCATTCGTAGTTGTCTATATTGATCCATTTTTGGATTTTCACTTTCAAATTTTTCTGCTCCAAGATAAGATTTTCACTTGTCTGTCAGTACACATCATCATGATAATGACAGTGGAAAATGAAACGATTAATCCTTCTGGTCTCATATTGAGTAACAAATTAAGTAGCGCGGTTTTGTCTTTGATCTCAATTGTGACCAGCATGTTAGCATGTCCGCATGTCAAAGCTCTAATGATTGTAACCATAATTCATATGACGATTTTATGATTTCCAATCGAATTCCCAAAAATTGGGGATCATTAATTTCAAGTAATCACCGTAAATACTAAATGCATGAAATTAATGCGTGCTCGATGTACTAAGATCAAATAAATTCATTGTTGTGGGATCGGAATTGCGTTTCAGAGTAAAGTATAATTTTGAGCTTATTACAGATGGCTTAGTTATATTTAACTTATTATTGTTATAGTCAGTATAATCAGTATTACTGAATATATCTGTGAAACTACATGTTATGGGGTAGGAACCATCGTGAGGCAATTTGTTTCAATAATTCAAGACAAGATATATTAGAGCATGTTCCTAGGGTCTGGTAATTGTCGGGAATGACTCAAATCGTGGGTTTCAGAAATTGGTATTGATAAGAAAGGCCCTGAGGGTAAGAAAGTAAATTCTATCGATGGATTTTTTGGACACTGATTCCAAATTTTCTCAATGAAATCTAGGGTAAAAGCACTTCCTTTATGACTATGAGTCATGGGCGAAAAAACGGTCTTCGCCACGTGACAGGCTAGTAAAAAAAACAAAAACTTTTAGTGATAGGATTGTGGTCAGCTTAGAGTAAGGAGTATTCTCAAAAAACATTAAAGGGCTCTATAACAAATTGTATCCATTCAGGTAGCATGGCTGCGACACAGCCCAGTACGATTGTCACAACATTTAACAAAGGTTCATCTTCAGTTAAAAACACCTTAACTGCTTCGGGAGTAGACGTAAAATGGTCCAAAACTGATTGGCTTAATACGGAAGTTAAGTTAAGCGATTTTGACTTGTTGGTTCTGAAGAATTTGGTTTGTGCTGTTACAAATGATATTGATTATGAATCAGTTTGCACAGTGATGGGTGATTATCTGTATCAAGCGGTTCGTCCCTCCTTGATCTTAGGTAAAATGAAGCTACTAAAAGGTGACGACTCAGCTAGTGGTAGTAGTAGTACTCCTAGTATAGGCGGTAGTGTTAAACAAAACAAAAACAGAAAAGGTGGTCGGAAAGGTGGGGGAGCGAATAAGGCGAAAGGAGCTAAAGGGCCTTCGAAAGCTGATCAGATTAGAATGCAAAATTCAATCGGTAGCTTAAACTCGAAAGTTGAAGGAGCTTTATCCGCATTTGCCGGTAATGACGACTTTCGACGCCCGAAACTGTTTTTGGAAAAGATCGTGGAGATGCGAGGGATTGGTTTTCTATGTTGTGCATGGTTCTTGTTGACAAAGCAGAAAAGTCACGAATTGACTGCCTTAACTTACAGTATCATTGTGTCATTAGAAAGATTCATCAAGGTAACGGAAAAACTGAAAGGGAAGTCGCATCTTGATTCTTTGAAAGACGACATCGTTTCAGTTACCCTAATAAATGATTTGAGAGATAAATTGGCGGAGCTAAAAGAGAAATTCGAATTTAGTGGCGAGAAACTATACCGTACATCTCCACAATTGTTAATTTTCAGTGACTTTGATACTGTCCTCCCAGTTTCAGCAGTCAAGCCTTATCCACATCAAGCCAGAATATGTAAAATACTGGAGGAAAACATTGAAAATGGATGTTATATAATGTACCGTGCTATCACTAATGCTGGTAAAACTACTACCATTGCAATGTTGGCTGCTACGGTCCAGAAGATTAGAAATACTCGACATGAAAAAGACCCCCTCGCTAAGCTGACGGTATTTTATCATTAGACTTTAGTGGATTAAATCTTCTTCAATGTTTACCAATGTTTATATAATAATCATATGCTGAAACAGTCTTGACTGATCGATTTAAGAACAATTTCTTTAAATTTATCATTATAATGTTTTTTTGTCATTTCAGATCATTTTCTGCTGTAACATCAAGTCTGTAACAGATACTGCTGGTCAGTGGCTGCAAAACACTACCCACATCAGCTCAATCCCTGATCTCCCGTTCGCTATAGCATTTGAAAGGCCGGACGGGGAGTTGGTGATTCGAAACAGTTATTTCTGTAAAGATATAACAGACAGACTGGTCATAATCTGCTCTCCACATATTGCTATGAGAGTAATTAAAGAACGTAGCTACATAACTCCATTCATATTGTTCCACGATGAACCAACTATCGGAGCTGATAATCGGGAAAGTCGCTCCCTGGCTCAAAATGTTGAAATAATGATGTACCCTCCTAGATGGACAATCGTGTCTTCCGCCACCCTTCCCACAGAGGTCGAACTCGACCCATTTATAAAGAGGTTCAAAAGAATGAACCTCTCGGGTCACATCGAAAATGTAGCTTCGGCCAAAATTAACATTGGCTGTGACATATATTCCCATAATGGTACCTCATTCTTGCCCCACTTGGGTAGCGGTTCAACGGACGAACTTACCGAATGTTTGACAAATATAAAGGACAACATGTTCCTGAGCCGTTCGTACACTCCCTTGTCCGTGTCAGAGCTGTGTAACTTCGCCACGGAGTCTGAAATACCTGGCGTACCAAAGATTGGCGATCACTTTTCCAAAATAGATAATCTCAGTGCCGATGCAGTGAGATTATTCGGGCTCAAGATTTTGGACCAGGTATCCAAAACTGACGACTCTACGACCAAAGAAATATGCTCCAAACCCATCAAATGCTCCGGAAGGAGTGTAGAATTTGCTAACCTTGGCACAACAAGTGCTTCTAAGTTTTCCCAGATGAGTCTCATTGCAAGTGGAGATCCATTAGCATTTGCACTGGAGACCTTCGCCGACTTCATTGAAGAAATCAACGATACTAAGGTGTACAGTATTGAAAAGCTTGTATCTCAATATTGGAAAGTTCAGGAACAGTGGTCGAGCGAGATCGAGAAGATAAAGAAGCGAAAGAAAAAACCCCCAGCCTCATCGAAAAGACGAAACTCCACTGGAGAGGCAGAAAAAGAAGAAAAGGTAGACTATGAGCAACAAGAAATGGATCTGCTCGCAAACAAACCGTTCCTGTCCTTCCCCGAATATTATCAAATTAACACCCGGCTGCACGCTGAAAAATACTCTCCGAACGGTAAAATAGATGTGGAGAGGTACCCCAACCCTGATTTTAGTTTTCTGACTGATTCGAAGAAAAATCTGAATGTACCTGGAGATGTTCTGCTTCTATTATGTTGTGGTGTGGGAATATATGCTCCTGAAGATTCTAGAGTCAACAGTGGCGGTTACCTCGAGTAAGTTCCTTTTTTTCTAAAAAACCGTTCGCGTTATTTATTATGAACTTATAATAACAAGCTTATTGATACATGCTCCTTGGAATTTGTTGCTTATCTTGTCATTTTGATCTAGAATTTACCCTATCGTCACCTCAGGCAAGTGATATCACTAGCAAAAACAGGAAGATTGGCGTATCTGGTAGCGGACCATAATATAGCATACGGAGTCAACTTCCCCTTCTCCCGGACGATAGTGTGTGATGATTTCACTGCAGAACATAGCATGAACACCGTCTTTCAACTCATGTCTCGAGCAGGTTAGTTTTATTATTTTATAATATGAGGGTCAAAACATTTGTCGAGATGATTAATTCCGAATTTTCGCCTCCAGGCTCCAATGGCCTTTAGGTGTTACCAAATTCCCCCAATTTTCTTATTACCCCTTTGCTCAGGTCGTGTTGGTCAGAGCTGGTTTGCAGAATCCTTCGTATCAGACGAAGTGGTGATTACAATGAGAGACTATTCTCACTCCGATAAGTCACCCGATGGTCAGGTGGAGATTAAGAACATGATAAGTGTAGCACGGGAAATAACGATAAGAGACCGTGAACAGAGGCAAGCCCGTGAGGGTATAGGGGGTCTGTGATTATAGGGCAGGATATTTAGGTGAAGTCTTGTTTTAGGGACAATTTGTATTGTTGTTTACTGAGGGGTATTGTAAATTTTGCATCTACGTAACATTGATATTCTCATTTCTCATGATACTATATATTTAAAATCTTTGTTTGGTCAAGTAATGGGTCGGTATGCTGGTAATCGATGAAGGTTTAGTGTAGTGAAGTTATCCATCAAATTGTTGGATAGCGTGTCCGTTCTTTTCCTTCTTAAAATTTGCTTTTTTGCAGATTGATAGGGAGGTAGCTTATAGCTAGTTGTGTTAATCATATTATATTGTGAATTGTTTGTAGGTAAAATAGGCGAAGCAGGGAAAGAAATTTATTTTATGGAATGTCTTTCATATATTTTAATGCACTTTAAAGTTAATACTTCGAAACCTTGTGATTTCTGGTTTTAGAATATTGGCTTGGTCTAAATTGGTATTAGTGAGTTTCCCGGCATGGCTTTTATATCTCAAGTTTTCAACAATACTTTTATTTTGAAACGTCCTGATGACGTGAAAAAATATGTTGGCAGAGGAAAAATCTTTTTCAGATTAGGTTATTTTTAGTCACATCGCCTCCTAAATTTTAAAAGTTTCACAAATATTTTAATGTTAAGGACACAACGATTACGATCAATTCTCATTTCTGGTTCATCTCTATTTGTAAAGCTGGTGTCAATTTGGGCATTGGGATCATGTTTAATTTTTATTTGTAGTGTAACGTCAATTGTTAGGGTGACCTAATTTGTATTGCGCTATCCTTGGTTTGGAATGATTGTAAAAAGAATTATATTGCATTTACTTAAACAAAAGATACTAGTTAAGTTCAGATAACCCTTCTTGCCACTCGCATATGTTAGATGATCAACTTTATCCTATCTCAAATTTATTTAAATTCTGTGTGGGTTTATAATTTAAATTATATTGATATGATGTGATTGCCATCTTTTTAATATCCATCATAGATCAAACTTGGTTCAATAGAATCGATAGAGTTCGTTTTAAGAACTATCATTGATAGCACCTAAATAGCCCCTGTGATTTTCTATAACTCTAAACTTTGCTACTGATGGGAAGATGATGTAAATGTGATATAACAGTTGACCTGTGACTTGAACGAATTACTAATTTGATCGCTGATTGGTTAATCGAGCTGTTATTAAATTACATTTGTGTCTCCTCCCCTCCGGTAGTCTAGTCTGTAAGTTTGAGCTGCCCTTTATAAGCTTTATTTGATTAGAGAACATGTTTTATCATTCGTAGTTGTCTATATTGATCCATTTTTGGATTTTCACTTTCAAATTTTTCTGCTCCAAGATAAGATTTTCACTTGTCTGTCAGTACACATAATCATAATAGTGACAGTGGAAAATGAAACGATTAATCCTTCTGGTCTCATATTGAGTAACAAATTAAGTAGCCCGGTCTTGTCTTTGATCTCTGATTCTCTATCTCAATTGTGACCAGCATGTTAGCATGTCCGCATGTCAAAAATCTAATGATTGTAACCATAATTCATGTGACGATTTAATGATTTCCTATCAAATTCCCAAAAAATGGGGATCATTAATTTCAAGTAATCACCGTAAATACTATGCATGACATTAATGCGTGCCCGATGCACTGAGATCAAATAAATTCATTGTTGTGGGATCGGAATTGCGTTTCAGAGTAAAGTATTATGAGCTTATTACAGATGGCTTAGTTTAAATACAATATGCATTAAACTTATTATAGTTATAATCAGTATTACTAGATAGTAGATATATCTGTTAAACTACATGTTATGGGGTAGAAACCATCGTGAGGCAATTTGTTTCAATAATTCAAGACAAGATATATTAGAGTATGTTCCTAGGGTCTGGTAATTGTCGAGAATGACTCAAATCGTGGGTTTCAGAAATTGGTATTTATAAGAAAGGCCCTGAGGGTAAGAAAGTAAATTCTATCGATGGATATTTTGGGCACTGATTCCAAATTTTCTCTATGAGTCTATGAAATCTAGGGTAAAAGCACTTCCTTTATGACTATGAGTCATGGGCGAAAAACGGTCTTCGCCACGTGACAGGCTAGTAAAAAACAAAAACTTTTAGGGATAGGATTGTGCTCAGCTTAGAGTAAGGAGTATTATCAGAAAACGTTAAAGGGCTCTATAACAAATTGTATCCATTCAGGTAGCATGGCTGCAACACAGCCCAGTACGATTGTCACAACATTTAACAAAGGTTCATCTTCAGTTAAAAACACCCTAACTGCTTCGGGAGTAGACGTAAAATGGTCCATAACTGATTGGCTTAATACGGAAGTTAAGTTAAGCGATTTTGACTTGTTGGTTCTGAAGAATTTGGTTTGTGCTGTTACAAATGATATTGATTATGAATCAGTTAGCACAGTGATGGGTGATTATCTGTATCAAGCGGTTCGTCCCTCCTTGATCTTAGGTAAAATGAAGCTACTAAATGGTGACGACTCAGCTAGTGGTAGTACTCCTAGTATAGGAGGGAGTATTAAACAAAATAAAAACAGAAAAGGTGGTCGGAAAGGTGGTGGAGCGAATAAGGCGAAAGGAGCTAAAGGGCCTTCGAAAGCTGATCAGATTAGAATACAAAATTCAATCGGTAGCTTAAACTCGAAAGTTGAAGGAGCTTTATCCGCATTTGCCGGTAATGACGACTTCCGACGCCCGAAACTGTTTTTGGAAAAGATCGTGGAGATGCGGGGAATTGGTTTTCTATGTTGTGCATGGTTCTTGTTGACAAAGCAGAAAAGTCAGGAATTGACTGCCTTAACTTGCAGTATCATTGTGTCATTAGAAAGATTTATCAAGGTAACGGAAAAACTGAAAGGGAAGTCGCATCTTGATTCTTTGAAAGACGACATCGTTTCAGTTACCCTAATAAATGATTTGAGAGATAAATTGGCGGAGCTAAAAGAGAAATTCGAATTCAGTGGCGAGAAACTATACCGTACATCTCCACAATTGTTAATTTTCAGTGACTTTGACGCTGTCCTCCCAGTTTCAGCAGTCAAACCTTATCCACATCAATCCAAAATATGTAAAATCCTAGAGGAAAACATTGAAAATGGATGTTATATAATGTACCGTGCTATCACTAATGCTGGTAAAACTACTACCATTGCAATGTTGGCTGCTACGGTCCAGAAGATTAGAAATACTCGACATGAAAAAGACCCCCTCGCTAAGCTAACGGTATTTTATCATTAGACTTTAGTGGATTAAATCTTCTTCAATGTTTACCAATGTTTATATAATAATCATATGCTGAAACAGTCTTGACAGATCGATTTAAGAACAATTTCTTTAAATTTATCATGATATTAATTTTTTTTTGTCATTTCAGATCATTTTCTGCTGTAACATCAAGTCTGTAACAGATACTGCTGGTCAGTGGCTGCAAAACACTACCCACATCAGCTCAATCCCTGATCTCCCGTTCGCTATAGCATTTGAAAGGCCGGACGGGGAGTTGGTGATTCGAAACAGTTATTTCTGTAAAGATAAGCCAAATGACAGACTGGTCATAATCTGCTCTCCACATATTGCTATGAGAGTAATTAAAGAACGTAGCCACATAACTCCATTCATCTTGTTCCACGATGAACCAACTATCGGAGCTGATAATCGGGAAAGTCGCTCCCTGGCCCAAAATGTTGAATTAATGATGTACCCACCTAGATGGACAATCGTGTCTTCCGCCACCCTTCCTACAGAGGTCGAACTCGACCCATTTATGAAGAGGTTCAAAAGAATGAATCCCTCGGGTCACATCGGAAATGTAGCTTCGACCAAAATAAACATTGGCTGTGACATATATTCCCATAATGGTACCTCATTCTTGCCCCACTTGGGTAGCGGTTCAACGGACGAACTTACCGAATGTTTGACAAATATAAAGGACAACATGTTCCTGAGCCGTTCGTACACTCCCTTGTCCGTGTCAGAGCTGTGTAACTTCGCCACGGAGTCTGAAATACCTGGCGTACCAAAGATTGGCGATCACTTTTCCAAAATAGATAATCTCAGTGCCGATGCAGTGAGATTATTTGGGCTCAAGATTCTGGACCAGGTATCCAAAACTGACGACTCTACGACCAAAGAAATATGCTCCAAACCCATTAAGTGCTCCGGAAGGAGTGTAGAATTTTCTAACCTTGGCACAGCAAGTGCTTCTAAGTTTTCCCAGATGAGTCTTATTGCTTGTGTAAATCCGTTAGATTTTGCTCTGGAAGCATTCGCTAACTTGATTGAGGAAATCAATGTCTCTAAGTTGTACAATATTGAGAAGCTGGTATCTCAATATTGGAAAGTTCAAGAGCAGTGGTCGAGCGAGATCGAGAAGATGAAGAAGAAGAAGCGAAAGAAAAAAACCCCAGCCTCATCGAAAAGACGAAACTCCACTGGAGAGGTAGAAAAAGAAGAAAAAGGAGAGTATGAGCAACAAGAGATGGATCTGGTTGCAAACAAACCGTTTTTGTCAATTCCAGAATATTATCAAATTAACACCCGACTGCACGCTAAAAAATTCTCTCCGAACGGTAAAGTTGATGTGGAAAGGATCCCCAATCGTGATTTTAGTTTTCTGATTGAGAAAACTGTGAATGCTCCTCAAGATGTTTTGCTTCTATTATGTTGTGGCGTGGGAATATATGCTCCTGGAGATGATAGAGTCAACAGTGGCGGTTACCTCGAGTAAGTCAATCCTTTTTTTTAATTGATGGCGATCCGTATGTTATTATCATATATAATTAGATTTCTGATCTTTTATTTTATTTTGACTTCTCGTCTGGTTTATCGAGTCTAACTCAAATTCATACAACTCTACATTCATTCGATCTAACTTAAAACCTGCATCGCCTCAGGCAAGTGATATCACTAGCAAAAACAGGAAGATTGGCGTATCTGGTAGCGGACCATAATATAGCATACGGAGTTAACTTCCCCTTCTCCCGGACGATAGTGTGTGATGATTTCACTGCAGAACATAGCATGAACACCGTCTTTCAACTCATGTCTCGAGCAGGTTAGTTAATAATCTGAAGAGCACGGTTATGTTGTGTGTTGGGTAACTAGAATCTAACTCTTAAAACGAATAAATTATCACAAGATGTTTGGTTGGAGGTCATCATCACCATTCGTCAAACTTACTATTCAATTGATGATATAGACTGTCAGGATATCTGTTGGCTTTGCCAAATTTTCCTCGTTTCCACTTTCCACAGGTCGTGTTGGTCAGAGCTGGTTTGCTGAATCCTTCGTATCAGACGAAGTGGTGAGTACAATGAGAGACTATTCTCACTCCGACAAGTCACCCGATGGTCAGGTAGAGATTAAGAACATGGTAAGTGTAGCACGGGAAATAACTCTGCGGGAACGCGAAAAGCAACGAGCCCGCTAGGATATAGCCATAGGGGGTGGGGGGGGGGGGGGGGTTTCTGGACTCTTGTGATCGGCGAAATCTTGTTTTAGGGACAATTTGTATCATAGTGAATTTCAATTGTAAATTTTGCATCTATGTCACATTGATACTCTCATTTCTCGAGCGATAATGTATCTAGAAAAGGTTGAGCTCTGTTCGATCAAGCTTAGCTTAAATGTGCCTAAAATTAAATATGCGCAGAAATTGGCAAGGAAATAACTAGTCTTAATCATGAGCCAGGATCTTGTTTAAATCATGATCCATAATTCATTGTTTGATTCATCTTCATTTGTAAACTGTTGTTGATTTAGATCGAGTTTATTTTCTTTATTTTGTATGTCTTGTATAAAGTTAATTTTTAGTGTTTAATGTGACTTTGTTGTAAAAGGGTATCGTAAAATAGAATTCTTTTGCATATAATATAGTCAGTACAGACTAACTTCAAAGTTTAGGTAGCATTTCCTGCCGCTTGTATCTTTTAGATGATCGACTATATCGACTATACTGTGACCTGTGTCCATACTGTATATCGTATCTCAAATTCATTTAAATTATGTGTGGATTTATAATTATATCGATTTTATTACCATTTACTGACTAATTAAGTTTATCTTAGATCAAACTTGGAATAAAATAGAATCGATAGATAGTTTTGAGAACCATAATTGCGGTAGCACCTGAATCATGAATGTAAATGGTACCTACTGCAATTTTCTATTATAAAGTTTGCTACTGATGGGGAGATAATGCATGTAAATTTGTTGTAACGGATGACCTAAACCTGACAATTACGTATTTGTTTTGTCGTTAAAAATATTTTCTGCTATAAATTACGATTTTTACTTGTTTAATTTTCACTATCTAATTTGCCACATTTGGTAAAAGAGGACAAAGGTTCATTAAAAAATATGAGAGCTTGTTTCCGCCGTTAAAAAAGGAATCTTAAATTTTCTATTAGAACTTAGAAGATTGATAAAAGTGTAGCTGGTTATGTAAGAACCGGTTCATATTGTTCAGGTGCAACTTTCTCCTTGACAGGTTTCTACAGACCGCTGGCTAACTCAGTAATTGAGCCAAGTTATCCGAATAGAGTAAGGTTCTGGTCGTTCTTTTGGATTGTTTGAAATGTGACAAAAATGGGCTCTCATGGTTGAGCAGTATGTAAATCTAACACAATGGTTCTAGCACAATCTAGATCTACTTTTTTACGATGGGTGATCAAAAAGATAGGAGCTCTGTCGATTTTTCCAGTTTTTAACATTTAGGGAACCACCAAAAAACTTCAGACAAGTGCCAAGGTTTTCCGAAAACCGTTTTTGACTGAAGTTTGTAGAACATTCGGGCCGAAGGAAGAATTATGAATAGTGCGCGCGCAGCATCAGCACGTGCACCATGGTAGCGCGCACCATTTTATGTTACAGTCGATATTTCATTATGTACTTTGTATTCAAAATATCTCAAAAAATTTGTCCGTCCCGCCGAAATGCGAAACGGAACACGAATTTACTGGACTTAAAAAATGCTAACCTCTACCTCATTGAATCAAATTCCAGACCCGAACGTCTAACACAACATTCATACAAACATTGACACTGATATGAACCTTGGTATCAAAATGATTTAAATGGTTGAATTATTTACTTTTCGATTGTCAATCTAAATTGGGACGAAGAAACAAATAAAACTGAGAATTATTGGGATAGTAATAAGTTAGAGTATGTTAAATATGGCGTTAGTACAAATCGTAATATCGTCAGTCAAAGGTTAAAGTGATCAAAATGTTGACTTTACAAGTTTTCTTTTTAATTGACTCGATGACCTCATTAAATGGAAATATTATCTAAGTAAAGCAGGCTCAATTTTTAGGATAATTAGAAATATAAAGGGCAGAGAACCGAGCCAGGATAAACTGATTTAAGGATAAATATCACAATCCTTTAGACAATTGAAGCTTTTTCAGTAGTAATATCAGCAGTACTTTCTATGGTAAATGTTTAGTAATTTAGATCTCTTGTTAACGCTATGTTCATTATATGCGAATAGTTTGCTTCATTTTGTCTATATCCTGCTATGTAAGTACCGAAAATATTTTGTTTTACATTTTTTTTGTAAACACCCAATTTAATTCAGTCATTGAGTCAAGAAGAAAAAAAAATCAATAATTGAAGTGTGATCATAATTGTAATAAATAATTTATTATCCGCTCATCAATGGATACCACTCGAAAAATACACAAAATACACAGCAAAATTGAAACAACAGCCACTGCTTGTAATGATCATAGTTTAGGCAAATAATTCAAAGAGTTAGGCGCCATCTACTTAGGATGTCCGCCAAAATCTTGGATTTTCAGACCACCCCACCCCTTGTAGAATGTAGGGTTTGTCCTAATATTTTTAGGTGTTTATTGATTTATAGAGATAAAATATTGCGAATTTTTAAAGCAGTGACAGTTCAACATATTCATGCCGATGAAGAAAGTATAAACGCTCAAATATTTTCCAAAGCACAAATCTTTCGATACTAGGAAAGGTATCCACAAGCTATTGTATAGGCGCTGCAGTGGCCATATATATGTCATGATATTTATATCAAGTTTTTATGAAAAACCTTGATCCAATTAAATATTATCTGAATATTACAACACTCTAAATTTGATGGAAATAGATTTAGTAAGAAATGAATTGAAAGGATTTTGAAACTTTCTTTTAAAAGTCAATTTGTCCTCGCGACTTGATACAAATGAATTCTAAGTCGATGGTGAGTATGTATCATGATAATAATTTTATATTAATAAATATAAATGAAATAAAGGATAATAATACTAATCATCCATTCGTTGCCATGAAAGATAATTATACTTATTAGTAATAAATAGAAGATAACAACAAGTTAAGAATTAAGTTGCAGCAAGAGAGATACTTATAATTATTGTACACTATGGTCGAGAATTAACGTTTCAGGTATTACCACCCATGGATTATCATGGATAACGGTATTTATTTTTATAGTAGCGACAATTTTCTTAATTTTCCATAGTTACTATTTCCTTTGTGAAGAATTTTAAATTTTAAGTATATCTCAGCTGCAAAGCGTAGCGAATTTAAAACATAGAGGGTATTAAACTTTAACTATCACTTTACAATTCACATAGCAGACTGCAGAGGGACCAAGATTAAATAATGAGTTGTGACTGTTTTTCTAATTATTATAGAAAAGCCACATAATTAGTGCTTCTATACATTTATAAACTGTCCCCTAGCCCTCCACTATGCTACTTGAAAAAGAAGAGAAACAAGCTAGTTGAAGGAGTGATGAATGAATCGTGCTTAAATAGTGAACAAATAGTGCAAGTGATTAGTGAATGAATATTATATTATATTGAATGAAGAGTGATTTATTATTATAATTAAAGAATATTCCAAAGACCATTTTGCACAATTTAGCAAAAAATCTTCAGAAAGATCGAAACTATTAACCGGTGAAAAAGTCTTATGTCGGTCCTTGATGATACAAAACATCGCCAAACAAAATGTATTTGGAATATATTATAATAGTCAATTAATATTGAATAACACAGTGATTGAATAATGAATAGTTTCAAGTGAGTGAATGTGTGAATAGTGATTAATGAATAGTGCGTGAAAAGTGAATGAATTGTCTGAATAGTGAATGAATAGTGAGTGATGACTGAATAGTGAGTGATGACTGAATAGTGAGTGATGTGGCAAATATTTCGGATAGTTAAATAAATATTAAATAGCTCCGGCAATTATAATCTATCATGATTCATGGTGCATCTATAACAGATAGCGATCTTTCTTTAATAAATAGCTCTCTGACAGCTACAATCTATCAAGGCAAACGTCAACTAAAACTTAAATAACAATCACGTAAAACACATTAAGACATAAATATTGCAATATCTTTCAACTGCACTACGATCAAAAAGTCAATAATAATACTATAATACTATGATAATGATGTAAGGGATTACAATTTGAGATAATAAGGTAACTGGCCCCAAAATTAAACACTCAAGTTGTCTGGAGAGGCATTGAACGGCAAAAGATTTCTCTTTAGAAGGTAGCGTTGTTATAGAAACTCTGTGGTAAACGAGGTGACACGACTCCTCTGTTCCTGAAAGATAATACTCTAATATAGTATAACAAGACTCCAACTGGAACTTTCACTAAGCATTACTGAAGTGATCCGTCCATAGTCATTTACTCAAACTTTGCTGGTAAAGGCATTTAATTTTGGCATTAAGGGAAGAAAATGGTCATCAATGGTTATGAATACTAGTTCCCGAACCGTACTAGGTACGGTTCGGGAACTTATTTAAGTTTCTGTGGTAAATTTAGGTTCACGCTATATCAAGGTTCCGAAGTTAGGCTATTATGTTATTCTCTGACGATGGTGTGTTTAAATAGCTTACATTCCGGGGTTGGGTGGGAGCCAGGACATATCAGGGAAATAGTCAGCAGGGTACTGGTCAACTGGGTCCGCATATCTGAAGTTATCATGGGGTTATCATTATGTTTAGTAGTTAAGTGAGGAGAAGTCAATTCCATATTTCTGAGAATAAACAACAAATTGAAGAATTGAAACCATACTGAAAATTTTCATCATTAATTATAACCACATTCAAAGCACAAGAATGAAATTTGATTTTTAGCATTTAGGTACATATGCAGTCTTTATGGGGGTGATGCAACGTCAATTAATGTCAATTAATGTCAATTAATGTCAATTAATGTCAATTAATGTCAATTAATGTCAATGTCAGTTTTGCAAAATTTTGGAATACTGACATTAATTGACACGATATTTTTCGACCAGAGATTATGTAGTTCTACCATATTTTTAGCACTTTAGAACGTTTATATCATCAATTTATTCACTACTTTCACATATGGAAATGTGAAATGTGAAAAATTCAGATCATTAAACAATAAAACTAAAATAAAACGGTTTTCTGAAATTTAATTTTCTTAAATGGGCGTGGCCATCCAAGGGCGTGGTTCTCAACATCATCAGAACTTAAAACCCACATTAAACGAAATGCCTTCATGACATTTATATTTGAATAACGAATCTTAAACAGCTAACATTACTCCTTCATGCTAAAAAAGCCGATTCTAGATATTTTACCTGTATAAGAAACCAATAAAATATGGGCGTGGCCGGTGGGGACCGAAGATGGAAGAGTTGGAAGCTAAATTTTTTTTTGGTGGTCTTTGAACCTCAGGATCAACAGATAAGAACATAATCATAATTATTCAAGGACATTTTGTTTTTTTGAACCGGTCTAACTTACATAGACGTGAATATCTATCGAATAATGATAATCTCAAATTTCAAGACAAATTAATGTCAATTAATGTCAATTAATGTCAATTAATGTCAATTAATGTCAATTAATGTCAATTAATGTCAATTAATGTCAATTAATGTCAATGTCAGTTTGGGGTTTTTATGGAATACTGACATTAATTGACGTTGCATTCCCCCCGTCTTTATCAATAAATACAGCTATAAATACCTGCGAACATTGTTTCTAGGGCTAATAAGTCCATTCTGCATAGATTGGGTACGGCGAGGGCTCGATAACATATCATTTACACCAGGCTTCAAATTACCCTCCCGGTTTACTTGAAGATCATGGAACGCCAGCAGTATCTGAATAAGTTCCTCGTAGTTACAGTTCTGGGAGAATTCTCTCTGGTCTCTGTTCAGGGAGGTATCATAGGAAGATCTGTTGAGGTTGGCTGGCAGCTGATTGGGTGGGCTGTCGTAGGGCGAGGAGTTAGTGGTAACACTCACAGCGCTGAGTGGGTTATCACTGTTGGGACTGCTGTCATTACTCCCAGAGAACACTCTAGAACCAGCTATTGCAGGAGCTCTGGTTTGGCTGAACTCTCTGTGGTGTCTGTCTACCGCCAAATTATATGTCTCTCTGAACTGCGCCATACCAGTGTTGGTTGGACTGAGCTGGAAATTATCTGAGTCCCTGTACTGCTCCCTGGATAGCTGATCTGTGGTATTTGGACTGTAAGGAGTGGGGATGGGGTATCTGTGGTAGGATGGGGGTGGAGAGAGGTGCTGCATGGAGTTGAGTGGCATGTTCATGTGATTGTTCATTTGATTGTTCATATGGGTCTGCGGAACTGATGGTAATCCACCTTCAGGGTGACACAATTTCAGTTTCTCGCACACCTGTGGACGGAAAATGAGAGTGAGCACAATTAGTGTAGAGTAATGAGAATAGTGTAATTACTAATTAGTGATGAAATCTAACAAGTATATTATAGAAATATTTCAATTTTCCGTTCATTGTGATCAGATATAATAAGGAACATAGAAAAATGAAATGAAACAGAAAGCTTATCAATTAATGCACCCATGAGTCATGACATCATACCATTATTACACTTCCATTGCATTTTAAAACGAATTGTTCTGTACTTTTTCAAAACAGTTCCTATTTCTCCAGCGATTAGAACAGTAAAGTTTAGCCGAATTAAAGAACTAATTAACTAATTAACTAATTAACTAATTAACTAATTAACTAATTAACTAATTAACTAATTAACTAATTAACTAATTAACTAATTAACTAATTAACTACTCACATTGTTAGCACAATCACATGTTTTACAGGAGTTGTAATGTCCACTGTTGTACTTCTTGTTGATTAACATCTCCATCTTCATATACGCACAAGTTATCTCATCCCAGGAACCTGAATAGTGTTCAAACTCTCAACAAGAAGTTACAATTCTTGCAATTGTGTTATCTGTTCTTTGGTCACGATGAAAAACTGAGTCAAAATTAGTAAGTTAATATTACCAGTGAGAGTGAAGTATTTCATTTTCTCGTTACGAGGAGGAGACTGAATGCAGCACCCGGAGTCTTCCTTTATCTGTCTGATTGTTCCTCCGTTGGGTCCAACTAATAACCCAACATACCGCGAACAACACCATATACGTGCTTCCCTAAGTAGTGAATCGGTGAAGGAACTATAACAGTTACCTTGTTAACAATAGTACTTTGAACTCTCAATTTCTATCACATTTCATTATTTAAGAGTGACTTATAAACTCGTACTTACATTTTAAAGCTTCCATCGTTGGGTTCTTTTCCACTTTCAATTCCGCTAAGTCTGTCATCTTGCTGTAATATCCACAGTGCCATCTTAGCCAAATCCTGTAAGCGGACAACAAGACTTATTAAAACGTCTTTGATCCAACTTAAAACTTTTATGAGATTTTAGCTACATGCATAATATTTCAGCAGGATTCATACCTTATAGCTTTCTCCGTACACACGGAAAGGTTCATCTCCCTGCTGAGGATTTTGAACGTCTGTATTTGTTTGGTTGCGCATTTGCATGATGTTTGAACCTGAATAACAACAAATAAATACCATTATATATTCGCTCTAGTCTTATAATATCTGTGTAATGTCTTTTCGGACTAAAAAATACAAGAATCTTACTATGGTACCCCTTTAGTGCATGTACATTAAAGTGTACTGTAGACTTTACTATGATATGCTACAGTGCAGGAGTACAATACAGGGTGTTTCAAAAGTCTTGTATAATATATATTGCATACATCAAATAAAATATTATTTTTAGACAATAGTGGACTTTCATAAATTGGTCAATAAGAGAAAAATTTACCCAACTTATCCTTGGTTGCTATGGTGGCCATGGCAACGTCGAAAATTCAGAAGTTGCCACTAAACCTTAGAACTACCAAAAACTGATTACAGAATTAAGTTTAGACAAATGGATAAAAAGTACACCCTTACAAGACTTTTAAAACTCCCTGTATCATGCTACGCTCAAAAACTAAATCACATAAAGAAGCTACCTGTAAAATAATCGTGTCTGACTTTTAGTTTTAAGCTCAACAAAAAGTTACAAGTCTTACATAAAATTATGAAAACTTGATACTGATAAATGCTAAGAAGATAACATACCTTTTTTACCCACAATCATTCCGACATAGTTCTGCTTGGAAACCTTGAGAAGAGCCACTTTCTTAGTGGTGCTGCTGACCGAGTTGGGGAACTTCAAGGTGCCGTCCTTTAGGGCACTGAATAAACGATTCTGATCTTTGGGATCAGTAAAAATTTGTTTAATCAGTGCATTGAAAGGAGGCTCCATCATGATCATGATATCAGCTAAGTTATTAAGGAGGTTAATAAAATGTTGTGCTGAAAAATTTCACATATTCAAAGAATAGAAATAAAAAATTGTACATCAGTTTAATCAAGTGATGCATTTGGCAGCGCACATCTCAAGCAACGAAAATAGTATATTACTATCAAAACTAATTGAATTTTCAATACATTTAATCGTGACTCATTCAAATTCTGTCCAAGATATTCAAGCCAGTGATCGACTGGAGGCCTCGGCTGCAGTATAGTCGAGGAATAATGATTGTGCCTCGACCAAAAATTCCATTAACTGATCAATCATAATTTTTTCATTCTAACAATATATACATTCAATCAAATCAAGTGTTGCAATTGGCAGAGCACCATAGGCAAGTAACTGAAATGGTCCATTGCTACCAATATTATTTGAAATATCAACAATATGAATGATAAAGGTAAAATTCAATTTAAACAAGAATTTCGCCGCGGTTAAACCACGCACGATCAATTTTCCCTACGATGTACTTGTACCATTAATTCTTTTGAGTGAAAAGTGTGACCATATTTACATATAACTATGTTTTTTATAAATGAGTGGGATTCGTACATGGTAAAAATTGACGATTTATTTTACCAATGCAGCGCCGCGCATCAACAATAAATGAATCCAGAAAATTCCGGAAAATAACTTTGCGAAGGAGGAATTTCACTGTAATTAATTAACACATGGCTAGCGTCGCGCGCAGCATAACAGACGCTTCCTATACACTTAGTTCTAGGGGAGTGGTCTATATTGCGAAGGAGCAGACTTTTGTCATCATCGCAGGTCCATCGGGCCACCTCATATATCCAAACCCGATTACTTATTCCCTACGATCTTTTTGCCTTCGGCAAGAGTAGGGAAAAAAATCAGCTGTGAAGAATATAACAGCGAATTTTGTTCTACTGACTATTTATTGGACTATCATGATCAGTAGAGTTTCCCTCATCCCAAACATCCACATCCACAGCCCCTCTTACATCCATATCTCCCACTGTGTCCCCCAAACTAGATCTGTAGAGAAGACTCTCCCAAATACTCCTCACTGAACATTGAGCTATATTTATCTTGAACTTAGCACCCAGCACGTGATCTGAAACTGAAAACATGGCACTGACACAGTCTGGTTTCAGTCCTGAACATTCCTGTAGGACAGGCTCGGTGCACTTGATCTGGGCGTCAAGGAGGTTAGTGAAGAGGCTCTGGATGAACATGTTGTCAGTGGAGAGCTCGAAACAAGTTTTACATTCCTCTGAGAGGGAGAGGGGGAGGAGAAATAGGAGGGTTAGAAGATATCGTTCATTCAACATCTGATTGGAGTGAGTTAATAAGTCAATGATTGATAAGTCCGATCAAGTAAGTCAATGGGTGCTAAGTTCAAGATAAAGATGGCTCAATATTCAGTTGCAGTGGGGAGTATTTGTGGGGAGTCTTCTTTTTATTATAGACCCACTTCTGACGAGTTCATGAATCCGAGATTTTGGAGCCATGAGACAGAGTTGAGACAAAAGTGAGACATGGCTTTTGTAGCCGTATTTGTGCTTTTACGAATTGGCAATTATTCAAACAATATACACATAATATAACAATTACCCTATATAAAATTCAATATAAATTCAATAGAAAACCCTTGAACACCCTTTAAGTAGTATAAGTAAGCCAGTTTAAAGAACTGGCTCCAAATTTATATCTAATTCTGCTATTTTTACTGCACTACTACTTTTAAACCCTCTCTCTCCTCTAATAGCTATGATTGTTGTTCTCAATAGGTCAAATCTTACTCTCTTCCTAATAAATGTCATTGCCTCACTATATCGTTGGCCTGATTTGCTAGATAGTTTATCCGCTAACTTCTTGAAGAACTTATTTGCTTCCCTTCCCATACCCCCAGTGGTTGATAGGACTATCGGTGTAAACGTCCCATGTTCGACTTCTACAATCCTTTTATTGTATAAATTCTTTTTCTGTCTCACATGGCTATTGTACATAGTGGTTGGAGATCCAAGAGCCTTATTGGAAGGAGCTTGAGCATGAAATACTCTTACATCTAAAAATGCCCTTTCCAATGGGTTCCATACACTCCTAGCACTAACATCTAATCTAGCTCCATCTGCTTTGTTGGCCCCTGCAGGAAGTTCTCTCCCGTTGACAGGAATGAGGAGAGGTTCAGTGGTAACATCTTTACAGCCAGCAGTTTCTAATAGCTCTGCTATCACATCTCTCAATGAATTGTGGCGGAGAGATACATACCCACCCCTTTTGCATACTTGCTTTTACTGATTTGGAATCTATCTGATATGGTAGAGGGACAGATGTACCAACATTTCCAGCCATTTATAAGTGCAAAATATTCCCCTGGTTCAATGGAATGAACGAAATCGGTTGTAGCTCGGGTGATTCAAGGAAAATGTTCATTTTGTGTCCATTTCGTTCATTTCATGAACCAAGGGAATATATTGCACTTTGAATGGTTCCAAAATCTCGGATTCATCATGATTTACCTGAGGACCCCAGGCTTTAATGTTGGTAAATATAATAGAGATTAGGCGGAATGACAGGCTGAGCGCGGCCCAGTAAATCATGATCTAATAGTAAATTTTACAAAGCTGGCTTTGGAATTAGGTTAAATTATAATTTATTTATTTAAAAAAACCACGGATAGTTTTAAATTTACGTTGTCGTACAACTGTAAACAAGTTAATCATGTTTTCAAGAATGCGCGGCTTTGGCGGCCAGTTATTGAATTATACATAAAATTGAATTTTAAATAGAAATGTTAATATATTAAAATTTAAAACTTTCAAAAGGGAGGCTTATAAATATTATTATATTATGATTGTAAAATAAAGTGTAAAAGGTAACATTTTAAATTTGTTTCACTAAAATTTGTTTTACTTTTATATGTACAACATTTTAAATTTGATTTACAAACGCACGTTCAAAAAATATGTTATTTTTTACAGTTGATTTTAAAAAAAACATTGTTGTCTTGGTATATTTTAGATATTGTTCTTTATATATATTTTGGTTGTAGCGCGATGCACTACTGGGTCGCGCGCGCGCATCCAATAATGCTTCTCGGCGAGATGCGAAGGATTGACATCGTGAATCAAATATTTTGGTTGTGCAGTGGGTTTGTTTCACGACGTTAATGTTGCATCTTCGATCTCGCCGATCTACTATATACTGGGGTTGCGAGAAGATGGGCGGCGCGGCCCAGTAGTGCATTGCGCTACAAACAGTGATTGAAAGCAAATTGTAATTTCAAATACTTTAAATAGAAACAAAATTTTGCAATACGTAATTTACTGGGCCGCGCTCAGCCTGTCATTCCGCCTAATCTCTATGTTAACGAACATAATAGCCTGGGGTCCTAATAGTAGAGGCTCTTACGGGCATTGTCTGCTCGATACGCTAGAGACCCCAGATACACCTTACTAAACGTATTTTTGACCGTAGAATCGATTAAAAGTAGTTTTAAGATGATTGGACTGACTTTTTGGGGGTAAAATTGCAAAAAACCGATTTTTGGGCCAAAAATAGGCCAAAAAACCATGTTTTTTGATATTTTGAACAAGTTAATTTTGTTGGCATGTCGGCAAAACTTGCATGGAGATAGCTAAAACACAGCCGCACAAGATGATATAAAAATTTGAAAAATCCCTCTATTTTTTTGGGGGTAAAAATCCAAAAAAGTGGTAAAAATTTGACTTTTTTGCTTGAAGTTTGAATAATTTTTTGCAGTTGTATTAAATCAACCCAAAAATAGTCACATCGTGTTTGCCTAAATTTTTCCTTTCCGAGAAGTACCCACTCCATATACTTTATCGAAGTTTGAATATTGTCACTCCGCAAGCGTTTTTGCCAAATTTTCGACGCGCACTACGCGCAAAAGCATTTAGTTGTTATCAATTGGCACCTGCGCGTTCATCATAAATTTCAAACAGCTATAACTCAGCGAGATTATGTCCATTCTAGCTCATATTTTCACACTAACTAGAAAATAATGTGATCTTATTGCTGACAAAATATGAATATAATTACTCTATTTGCCTTAGAGTAATAGACTGTCAAAGTTTAAAACGCGCATTGGTATAGCACGTGACTAATAAGGCCAAATTTATACTTCTTAACATATTATCGATCCTTAGACATCATACTATTGTGTCCAATTAGCGGTTAGGTCTCTAAAATCGTAGCAGAAAACACGTCTTTTTGCCCGTAAGAGCCTCTACTATAAGGTAATACGTACGTATTACCTGAGGACCCCAGGCTATTATGTTCGTTAACATAGATCGATTAGGCGGAATGACAGGCTGAGCGCGGCCCAGTAAATTACGTATTGCAAAATTTTGTTTTTATTTTAAATTTTGACCGTTCTATAAAAGAAATCGTTCACATATTACGTAATATGTGAACGATTTCTTTTATAGAACGGTCAGAATTGAATCGCACCGAGCGTGCTAAATTGCACTGTACAGTTTGCTCTAACCAGAGCCCTATCGCTTGCAGTAGCGCGCGACCACCAAAACAAGCGCGTCACGCAGTACGCGTATACACATGGCTTGTATCACGTGGTGACCCCACGGTCGCTTCACTATAGTGAACCCCTATAGAGTTTTGACGATACACAATACAGGCGGGAGCTGCGCACTCGTGCGCGGCGGGTCATACAACGTATGACAACACATGGCTATGTGAACTCTACAGTCGATCTTTAAGATTGTTCCAAAAGGGCCCCCGCCATAGTGAAACGACCGTGGGGGTCACAACGTGATACAAGTTTGGGTTAGGGTTAGGATCAGATTAGAGGGTTAGGGTTTCAAATAGTCGTTCAGGGTCAGCTAGAGAACGGGTTGAAAAAGTCACGTGACAGTCGAGTGTAGAGTGATTAATCATTATCCTAATCACACCCCATCCAGCTAAAAGAGCTTGCTAATGACTGCGCTAGTTAATTTTACACATGACCTTATGACCTAT